CTCTCTCTCTCTCTCTCTCTCTCTCTCTCTCTCTCTCTATGATGTTAGCTTTTCCAGAACTTCGTTTTCAACTTCTCGGAAACAAATTACCGAAATCAATTCTTGCTCGTGCATTTACAATTGCAAGAATGTTGTAAGATTCATCGGTGAATAACATACTACACGAAAATGGCTCTCCTCCATTATTTTGTATATCGCTATTTGTTCGTAATGAATGAATAATGGTATAGTAAATATATATCATTTATAATTATCAATATTTCCTGCGTCAACTGTTATCACAGACATCAATGCACCTCTCGGTGACAGCACGATAATCTGTAATAATAGTACAGATATTTACACTGTTACAATGTGTTTTTTTTTGCTGCAATGATAAGACATAAAATACGACACGTGATATACTTATGTGCAAGACATGTATAAATATAAAATTCAACTTTTGATAAAAATAGGAAAAATAAGATAAAACTGAATGCAATTAGGCTAGTGAAATATAATTAGACCAAAAAAATATGTAATATATTTGTAGTATATAATTTTTTATGTTGGGATGTCTTTTTTCAAATTACGTGTTATATTTAGAAAAATTTATGAAATTTAATGTTCGTAAACATTGATTTAATTGTAGGGAGGCGAAAACGCGTGCAAACAAAGAATATAGTTCGTACAAGGGCTGCTTTATCCAGCCAATGTGAGGCAAATTCACTGATGAAGAAGGAGGCCAAGTTGAACGTCAGTAAAAGTGTTAAAAATGTCAACTCTGGCGAAGTTCATTCTATATCTGAGGAACACAAATCACCTGCGTGTATAAATTCTTTTTTGTATGCACAAGTACGTAATCTTTTCAGTATCTTGGAAATTGAATAAACTTTCAAGCAGTTGCAAGGATATTGGTTCATATCTTGATCTTGAATGTTCTTTGGGTTATATGAAAAGATTTCTATTAAAAATTACATGTAGATTGCAGATGTTTCTACAAATGAAGCTTCTACGATGCCTATTGAAGAAAACTTTTTCAGAACTGAGGGAACCAGTGATGTACAAGATGACATTCTTATAGATGCTGGCCAATTCAAAACAGATGGTAATGTTCCATCAACATATGTTTAAGTGATATTGTTAATAATTCAATAAATACAATTTCAGAAACACCCGTAGCGGTGCCTATCCATGGTCCTTCGACGCCACACAGGATTAACATGCCAAGCAGCGAATTGGAGGATCTAGATGACAGAAATGCAAATGAAAACATGCATAAAAAATCTGTCGTAACTTCTGCACTTAACTTGGAGCAGCAGTCGTTTAAAAAATCTGCCAGTCACAACCGTAGAAAATTAAACAGCAATCAGTCTGCCATAAATCGTTCGATAGATTTGTTAAATGCCAAAAGTACAAATCACAAGCTGACCGACTACTTTCCAGTACGCCGTAGTGTAAGAAAATCGAAGAAGGCCGTGTTGGAAGAGAAACAACGTGACATGGAGAATAAAGTGCTTTGTCAAGTGGAAGAAGGCCTAGAAGTAAGACGAGTCGACGAAAGAAAATTATTATTTTGTCATAAACTCTGCATTGTCTCTTCTTTTCTTTTTAGATAAAATACTTTGCTGGTAAAGGTCGTGGTATTTTGACAACACGAGAGTTTATGAAAGGAGAATTTGTAGTAGAATATATTGGTGAACTAATCGACCAAGTAACGGCGAAAAAACGTGAGAAAATATACGCACAAGACCAGAACACTGGATGCTACATGTATTATTTTCAACATCGTAATCACCAGTATTGGTAAGTATTTTATTACCAGCGTTGTTATTTATAAAATTATTGTAAACTACCATTTACAATATCACCGTATTTCTAGCGTCGATGCAACAGCAGAGACTGATAAATTAGGTAGATTAGTGAATCATTCAAGAAACGGTAATTTAATTGCTCGGGTCGTAGAAGTGGGATCGACGCCACATCTGGTACTTACTGCGAAAGAAAATATACCTGTAGGAGTGGAAATTACATACGACTACGGAGATCGAAGTCGCGAAGCAATTCGTCATCATCCATGGTTGGCATTATAGCACATTATAGCGTTGGCTTTCAATTATTGATTAGTTACAGTAGCATGATAAATTGTACAGCAGAATTCGTTTAATCGGTTTTGTACGTACGTCTTAT